TAAGATCTAAGTGGATTAAAGATCTAAATATTAAGACAGAAACACTAAACTTGCTGGAAGATAAGTTAGGTAGAACTCTTGAAGACATTGGCAAAGGAAAGGACTTTATGAACAAAACCTCTGTAACATGGGAACTAGCAGAAAGAATCAACAACTGGGACTTCATCTTATCAAAAAGCTTCTGCACTGCAAGAGAAATCACCAACAGAACTAAGAGACAACCTGCAATATGGGAAAAAATTTTTACCAGCTGTTCCACGGACAAAGGTCTACTATCTAGAATATATAAAGAACTCAAAAACATCAGTATCCCAAATATAAAGACCCAATTCAAAAATGGGCATCTGAAATGAACAGACACTTCTCAGACAAAGAAGTAAAAGCAGCAAATAAATATATGGAAAAAATGTTCAACATCACTGGTCATTTGAGAGATGCAGATGGAAACAACAGTGACATTCCACCTCACCCCAGAAAGAATGGCTGCTATCAAGATATCAACCAATAACAAATGCTGGCGGGGGTGTGGGGAGAAAGGAACCCTTCTCCATTGTTGGTGGGAATGGAGACTGGTGCAATCACTATGGAAATCAGTATGGAGAAACCTCAAAGAACTAGGGCTAGAGGTCCCATTTGACCCAGCTATTCCCCTGCTGGATGTCTTCCCAAAAGAATTAAAAGAATCATACCACAGTGATATAGGTGCATGCATGTTTATAGTGGCACAGTTTGTAATAGCTGAAGCTTGGAAACAGCCCCAGTGCCCATCAACTGGAAACTGGATAAAGATGTGGTTTTTTTTTTTTTTGAGTAAAATGGAGTACTACTCAGCCATAAAGAATGAGAAACTAGTCATTTATAGCTAAATGGATGCATATTGAGGCCATACTCTTAAGTGAAATAAATAGGACACACATGTGTAAATACAAAATCGTTTCTCTAGTGTGAGAAACTGAAAGTGTAAATAAGGATTAAAATGATTAAAATGAATAATTGGTGATTTGAAATAGGAAGAAAAGGTCCAAAGGGATAGGGGTGGTTTGAGGGGAAGGGGAAAGGAAAGAAGGGAAAGGAAAAATTATGAGAAAGGAAAAAAAATGGAAACAAAATCTATGTAAATAGGGAAGGGTGGAGGGGGTGAAGGGTGCACAGGTAATGGGGAAAAAACAAAAACCAAGATACATCATGTACAGGTACAAGCACTCAATGATAAATGTAAACGTATTGTATACCTAAAATGTACCAATAAAAGAATTTAAAGAAAAAAAATAACTTGCTCAATACTCTGCTATAACAAACACAGAACTGAGGTCAAAATTCTAGGATTTTAGCTTACCCAATACTATCTCCCTAACTGAATGGTTGAATTCTGACTTGTAGAGATGTAGGAATGAAGGCAGAAATGAATAGAATAAACACAGAGAAGGATTCAGAAAATATTAGGTGTACATTTAAGAAGAGCAATAAGCTCACTCTGGCTGGAACTTAGATTGTCTTGAAGGGCACTAGCTGAAAAGTTAGGGAATGAAATTTAGCCCTGGCTCCTTGTATCTTTAAGTTCTTCAATTCTTCATAAGATTAAATTCTATTCTTTAAGTAAATGTGAGTCATAGAACTTAAGTGACAAGAAGACTGACTTATGAAGTTATAATTATGAAACAGAAGATTGTTTGGGTTAATTCACTATTATAATGGTTCAGTTAAAGACCTAAATCAAGATAAAGACTGTTAGGATCAGAGGATATAGTGCAACCAAGATATAATTAACTCAAAGCCTTGGCCAACAAAGTAGTTCTATAAGAGAAGAAAGAAATATACATAGAAAAACAAACCAAGGGTCTCCTGTTTAGTTCCTGGAAGGGTCATTTTAAGTCACTTATTTTTCTAGTTATGATTAAAAAATTACTTAGTATTTCTATATGCTAGATGATGATCAAATTATGCTATTTTCTACAAATAATTTAACAGATCAATTGTATCCATTTTCTTCTTTGCAAAGATAAAGATGAAAGAATGAGTTTACTAAACCATAATATAATGTGTCACATCTTGGTATTTATTTACTTATTTTTGACTAATCTACAACCATAAATGCAAATCTTAAAATTTCTATGTAGCATGATTTCTTTTTAGAATGGTATCTTCTTAGCCTAGTATCAAAATCAGAAGTTACATAAAACTGGCATCTAGTGATGCATGTTTAAGTGTTTTAAAATTTACACATGTGCACATGTGTGTTCAAGCACACACACACACACACACACACACAGAGTCAATACAATTGACAAAATGCTATATGTTAAATACTCCCCAAAGATCTATATGCTAAAGTCTTGGTCACAAGTTGGTGATGCCACTGGGAAGTGGTAGAACCTTTAGGAGGTGGGGCTTGATGGAAGGAAGGTAGGTTATTGGGGTCAAGCTATTGAAAAGGATATTGGGACCTCAGTCCCTTCCTATATCTCTCTTTTGGTTTCCTAGCTGTCATGAGGTGAACAGGTTTCATCCACTATGTGCCATGATGTACTGTCTTTCCACCAACTCAGAAGCAACAGAGCCAACTGACCATGGACTGAAACCTCTGAAACTATGAGCCAAAATAAACTTTTCATCCTTTAAGTTGATTTTCTCAGGTATTTTGTCACGATAATGACAGGCTGATGAATACATAAACTTATAGCAAGACTATCAAAGAAACAAAGAGAAGACACAAATTACCAGTATTAGGAATTAAAAGGCATATCGTTACAAACCCTGAGTACATCAAAGGACTAATAAGGAGAATTATGAAAAGTCTCTATACACAAATATTACAACCTAGATGAAATGGACCATTTCTCAAAAAATACAAACTACCACAACTTACCTAAAATAAAAGAGATACTTTAAATAGCTGATCAAGGGAATGATCAAGGGAATTAATGATCAAGGGAATTAAGTTTCTTAATTTAAAAATTCCCCTGAAAGAAAGCTCCAGGACTGTATGGCTTTGTCGGTGAGTCTTCTAAAAATTTAAGTAAGGATTAATACCAATTCTACACAGTCTCATCCAGAAAATAGAAGAGGAGGAAACTCATAATTTTATGAAACTAGTATTACCAGGATTAGACAGAATAGCTGAATAAATCAGTATTAAAGTGATCAGAGTTCAGAGAAGATAAAAATAATAAGATTAAAAAAAGATTAAAAAAATAAGAAAAGCAAATCAAAGACCAATATCTATCTTGGGTACAGATATAAGAAATCTTTAAGAAAATATTAGCAAATACAAATCAGCAATTTATAAAAAGAATAATATACCACGATGAACTGTTTTATTCAAGAGATGCAAAGTTCCTTCAATATTAACAAATCACTTAACCTATATGAACCTATATTAAAGAAAAGCCCTGCATATCATATTGACATGGAAAGAACATTTGACAAAATTCAGCATATATTCATGACAAAAACTCAGAAAAATAAAAATGGGAATTTCCTGAACTTGATAAAAGACCTATAAAAATATACAGTTAACATTATACCTAATGGTGAGAAATTGAGTGTATTCCTTCTACAATTGGGAAGGCATCTGCTCTCAACACAGTCAGGATGTTCTGGCCAGTGAAATGGGCAAGAAATGGAAATAAAAGGTGTATAGATTGGAAATAAAATCATCTCTGTTTGCAGATGAGATGACTGCCTACGTAGAAACTCTAAGGAGCGCTCTGTGGGCCGCTCCTGGTATTGTTGGGCTGGGGTGGGCTGTGCTGGGCTGAGCAGGTCATGACAAAGTCTGCCTGAACAGATAAGCTTTGAGCGGGAAAGCTACTCTCCTCTGGCCAAGCCTTGAGAGCCAAGCCAGACCTTCCAGTGAGCCACAGGCTTTGGCATCTGAAGAGCAGTGCTAGGGGCTGAACCTAGAACCCAGAATAGAGTAGGTGGAAACTTTCACACTGAGACATGCCCACAAACCCCAGGGCACATCACAAAGAGAAAGCCACTTACTAAAAAAAGACACCCCCACCATGCAAGTGGTCGAGACACCCTTCCCAAATGATTTGTCAACCTTAACACAGAAGCACGACTAAAATGAGAAAACAAGACAACAAGATACCTGCAAAACAACAGAACTCCCAAAAGCTGATCCCACAGATACTGAAGTGAATGCAATTCCAGAAAAGTTGTTTAAAAAATCCCTGATAGTTAAAACGATTAATGAGATGAAAGAAAAGACAAATAAGTAGCTGAATAAATCAGTTTTAAAGTGATCAGAGTTCAGAGAAGATAAAAATAAGCAGCTGAATGAATGAAGGAAGATAGTGTAGGAATGAAAGATTACTTCAGTAAAGAGATAAGAGGTTACGAAAAAGAACCAAGCAGAAATGCTGGAAATGAACATCTCAAAAGTCAAATAAAAAAACTCAAGTGAATGTCTCAGCAGTAGGCAAGAATCAGAAGAAAGAATATCAGGATTTGAAGATGAGGTGGGTGTACTGGAACATTCAGGCAGTGTCAAAGAAAACAAAAGAATAAGAAACAGTGAACAGATTATTAAATAGCTCTTGGATAAATCTAAAAGAAAAAATTTAAGACTCATTGGCATAGAGAAAGGCAAGGGAATATAGGCTAAAGGCATAAAATATTCTATTCACTGAAATTATTGCAGGAAATTTCTCATACCTGGCGAATGAGAAAGAGCCAAGTAAAGGAGGCGTTTAGAATCCAAAATAGACATGACCAAAAAAGAACCACTCCACAACATAATCAAAATGCCAGAAATTCAGAACAAATTAAAATATTGAAAGCTATTAGAGAGAAGTGCAAATTACTTATAAAGGGAAACCCATCAAAATGACAGCAGATTTCTCAACAGAAACCATAAAGGCCAAGAGGGCCTGGAATGAAGTTTGTCAAGCCCTAGAAGAATATGATTGTCAACCTAGAATACAACGTCCTGCAAAGCTGTATTTTAACATCAAGTGTAAAATAAATACATTACATGATGTGTATTAACTAAAGAAATTCATGGCCACTAGCTTGTATTAGAGGAAATACAAGTACTGAAGGGAATCCTAAAGAGGGATGGTGAAGCAAACAAACATTACCAAGTCAAAGAAAAGAAAAACATGGAAGAATGGATAAATTCCTAGACACATATGCCCTATCTAAATTTAACCAAGAAGGTACAATAAACCTAAATAGATAAATAGTATGCAATTAGATTGATGCAATCATTAAAACTCTACCAAATAAGAAAAGTGCAGGATTTACTGATGATTTACTGCTGAATTTTATCAGACCTTTAGAGAAGAACTAACACCAAGGCACCTCAAACTTTTCTATGTAATAGAAAGGGAAGGAATGCTTCCAAATTCATTCCATGAAGCCAGCCTTACTGTAATACCAAAATCAGGTAAGGTTGCAACAACAACAACAACGAAGAAAACTGTAGACTAATATCCTTGATGAACATAGATACAGAAATCTTCAATAAGATCTTTGCAAACAGAACTCAACACATTAAAAAGATCATATGCTATGGCCAAATTGATTTCATCCCAAGGATGGAAGTACGGTTCAATATACATATATGAATAAATGTAATATACTATATCACATAAATAGAATCAAGGATTAAAAAAATCAAATGATTTCTCATTAAATGTAGAAAATTCCTTTGATAAAATCCAATATTGTTTCATGAAAAAAACCCTGATGAAGGTCCGGGGATTTCGCTCAGTGGTTCCACTGCCTGCCCTGTAAGCGCAAGGACCAAAGTTCGATCCCTGGTGCCAAAAAACCCCTCCCAAACAAACAAACAAAAAACCCTGATGAAAATAGATACAGAAGAATCTTAGCTGGGCATGATGGCACACACCTGCAACCCCACCACTCTGGGAGGCTGAGGCGGAAGAATCACTACTATGAGCCTAGCTCTAAAGAAGAACAAAATCATGTCATTTGTAGGAAAATGGATGGGACTGGAGCCTTTTTTTTTTATACTGGGAATTGAACCCAGGGCCGTCACTACATCCCCATCAGTTACATCTTCAGTCCTTCTTTTTAATTTTTATTTTTGAGACAGGGTTTCCCTAAGTCACTAAGTCACCTCAACTGGGCCTGAACTCATGATCCTCTTGCTTCACCTTCCCAGGGTGCTGGGATTATAGTTGTGTGCTATCATGCCTGATTTTTGAGACCAGTGAAATAACGGAAATAAGCCAGACTTAGAAAGATAAGTACCACATATTTTCTCTTACATGAGAAATGTATAAACTAACAAACAAACAGATAAAGGGAGATGACAGGACTCTGGGAAGTATACTTTTGGAGATGGGGAAGGGATCAGCAGGAAGTGGGGGGAAGAGTCAGGGGGTAATTGGGATCAAAGATGATCAAGATATGTTAAATGCATGTACTAATTTCCTCAAAACCCCACGACTACTGAAAAAAGAAAAAAGAAACACTAAGGAATCTATGAAAATTAAAACAAAAACACAACACTCATGGCTGGCAGTGTAGCTCAGTGGCAGAGCATTGCTTAACATACACAAGGGCCTGGCTTTGGTCCCAGCACCAAAAACCAAGAAAAAAATACCAAAAATATAACAAACACAAAACTCAAAAAATCAAAACTCTAAACCTTCTAGAACTAATAACCAAGTTCAAGACAATCACAGGATATAAGATAAACATAAAAATGAACTGTATTTCTACATTATAGCAATAATCACATGATTACCAAAATTAAAACTATAATATCATTTATAGCCACTTAAAAATATTAACTACTAGGGTGGAGTGGCACATGCCTGTAATCCCAGCATTCTGGGTGGCTGAGCCAGGTGGTTCATAAGTTTGAGTCCAGCAGGGGCCACTTAGTGACTTGGTGAGACCCTGTCTCAAAATCAAAAAAGACTGGGGATGTAACTCAGTGGGAAGGCTCTGGGTTCAAGTCCTAGTACCACAAAAACAAAAACAATCCCCCTCCCAATAATAACAACAGCAGCAGCAACAACAAACTTAGGTGTAAATGTAATGTGCATGGTTTATATGCTGAAACTGCACAATGTTGATGAAAGAAATAAAATATCTAAATATATAGAGCAATGTCATGTTCATGAATTGGAAGTGTCAACATCATAAAGCTACCTTAAACTGATATATAAGTTCGATGCAATTTTTTCTCAAAATCTAAGCAAGATTTTCTGGTTAACACTGACAAGATTGTTCTAAAATATATATGGAAAAGCATAGAACTAGAATGGCCAAGATAATATGAAAAAGGAGAATAAAGTAAGATGAATCAGTCTACCTGATTTCAAGTTTTATTACATAGTTTCAGTAATGAAGACCATGGTGTGGGTGAAGGGATGGGCATATCAGTAAATGGAGCAGAGTAGAGAATTCAGAAATGGACACACACAAATACACTCCACTGATTTTTGGTAAAAGGTACAAAAATAATTCATTGAAGAAAAGACAGCCCTTTTCAACAAATGATAGAACAATAGGACATTCATAGACAAAACTAAAATAAGAACAAAAAACACTACTGTAAGTCTTATATCTTTTTTTTTTTTTTGTACTGGGGCTCAAACTCAGGTCCTTGAGCTTGAGCAGCAGGTGATGAAACCACTGAGCTAAATCCCTGGCCCAGTCTTACATCTTATAGAAAAATTAACTCAAAATGTACCACAGACTTGAATGTAAAACTTAAAACTATAAAATTCTTAGAAGAATGGGAGAAAATTTTGGGTCTAGGCTAGGGAAAGAGTTCTTAAACTTGACAATGAAAATATGAATCATTAATAGAAAAGTTGATA